TTTTTGCGGGGGCTCATTTTTTGGCCCTAAAGCCTGTTAAAATTGGGAGGGGTTTTAAATAAGGTGAAAATTTGGAAAACCCAAACGCCCCTAGAAACCGTCTTAAAAAAGGGGTTTTTTCAAACATTAAACATGGAAAGGGTTAGGAAAATTTTAAATTTTTCAGAAAAACCATCAAGAAAATGTTTGGTTCTGTAAGTATAACATCATTGGTGGTTATAGATTTATAATCTACAATATCCATTTTTTTTTTAAAGCCAATATATAGAGGATATTTGTTTAGTTCAGTGGTAAGATCGCGAATATATTTTCACCCGAGTGCGAGCACCAAAAGTTATTTCACGAGTGGCGCAGCCACGAGGTTGAAAAATATGAACTTTTTGGTGCTCACAAGGTGAAATATATTTCGATCTTACACTAAACTAAAACAAAAATTCCTTTTTTATTACATGCAAAGAAACGTTTTTAAAAGACATTAAAACCTAATAATTAAATGAAAAACGCGCGCCAAATAATGATTACAACGTGACGTCATTTACGACGTCCACGTCATTGAGTTGGTAGCCAGTACTGTGCACGCTGGTAAAATTTTCACTGAAACAACGTGAGGGGACTTAAAATTCAAAACAGTGAAATTATCAAATTTTGGTTTTTTTCCCAACTTTTTCAAACAATTTTTTTTAAGTACTTTTTATGTACAAAAATTACCTAATGCCCCTTAAAAAAATGACAACGACCCCCAAAGGGGCCAACCATTTATAAATACCTCCAAAAACATCCACCAAAACTATGGGGCACCGACTCCCCCGAATCTGAAAACATTTTTGGGGATAATAAAATAAATATACAGAAAAGGGTATAAACCTACGATTTTTTTATCCATGAATTATAATGGTTCCGCGGGCCCCCGATGTCCTACCCCCTTTTCGTTTTGGTTTAAAACCCCGGAGGGGTCCCCTTTAATTAAAGGGAAAAGAATCGTTCCCCTTTTTAAAGCAAAATTTGGGAAATTTTTTTAAACGGGGCATGTCACGGGGCCCCTTTTTTAAATCCTCATACCACATCCCTTTTACAAAAAGTTCTCAAATTACAGAAAAAACATTGTTTTATTCATATCTATGAGACTAAACGACAACACGACGAACAAAGGTGTTCCAAATCAGCCACCATATTAAATAGAGTACAACTATTTAGGTTGTTAGTATTTATGATCTAAATGTTTAACTTTAACCCTTTGTATGTTGGCGGTTATTGATTTAGCCGTCTGATGTTCACTTTTCAGTCAATACATATTTTGTTAAAGACAGTGACGGATTCAGGCCCGGGCTTCAGGGCTGAAGCCCCTCCCCCCCCCCCCCACAGCTTGGCCCAAAGATACGTTTAACCAGTTGGGCTGGAAAATATTTTTGTCAGATTCTAACTTTATTAGTTGGCTGTAGTGTATTCCCTTATCAAAATATTAATTGCTGTCATCCAGTTGTTAATCTCCTACCTGGGGGCTTGGAAGAGATCTATCTATAAACAAGCTTGAATGACTTCAATGTTTAAACTGCATTTAATAGGCAAAGATAGTCGCAAATTGATGTGTTGCATTGTACAACATATTTTTACTATCTTTTTTTTTCAATTTTCCTTGATTAAAAGAAATTGAAAATTCATTATTGTAAATTAAAAAGAGGTGAGTTTATAAGATTATATTAAATGAATCGCGTTTAAATAACTGGTTTTTTCTATTTTTATTCAGTATGAAACTGATTGGTCATTTGCTTTAATAACTTTTTTTATTGCCAGAATATTTTTAAAGATAAAATTATTGAACTGACCTCTTTTAGTATCTAAAATGGATTCATTGATATTGAATATTAGTGTTTGAAATTATTATTATTATTATTATTATTATTATTATTATTATTATTATTATTATTATTATTATTTTTATTATTATTATTATTATAGTCTTTATTGCATTGTATTCTGAGGAGATTTTTTTAGAGATTCAGTACGCAGTGACAAGATATTTTTTTGCCATTTAAATCGTGCGCCAAATTTTGAGCATTAAGTTCAAATTTAAAACTATGATCCCAACATTTATATTCATGTATTATCTTTTGATATTGACAGATCAAGTATTTGATATACCATCTATAAATTACACATGAACGGGATTTTAAAGCCCTCAATAGCTTTTACTTTAGGATATATTATGCCAGTAATAAACATACCATCGTTATCGGCAAGTTCTACTCCTTGACCTGTGGTATTTGTTGTGGTTGCAGGAAACTGGCTCGTTGTTTCTTTTATAGTTGTGGTTATTTCAGTGGTAACTGTACCGTTGGTAAAACTGTCAGTAGAGTTTGTTGTGGGAATTAACTCGGTTGTTGTCTTGGCGGGCGTTCTGGTGTCTGGTGTTGGAGCTACTGTAGTGTTAGACATTTTCACTGTAATAATTAATAAAACAAGGGTGAAAAAACTGTAAAGAAAAATGGCCACCAAGAGCAATGTGTGCAACAATTAGAGGTGATAAAATGCAGACAGGGTTAAAATACAAAAAAATGCATTGTTTTTCAAAACTTCTAGAAGAAATCTATAGGCTTCAACACTATTTTCATTTAAATGATATCATTCTCCAAGTACACTGTTAGTGGTACATATAGCTTCAATGAATAAACAATATTATCTTAGAAGTGTTAAATCATTTTACACTGAATGCGTTCCAATGCGTCCTTGACGAAAGTCCATAAATTGTGTTAACAGGAAAAATAACTCATCAATTCAAGTCTTAAAACATGTTTTTATGATTACATGACATGTAATCTTTTATCACCCGTGCCGCTTTTGCGACTCCGCAGAAAAGGTATTACACGCCCGTGAATATAATTTATTTTAACGTGACGTCATCTGCGTTATACAAACAAACAAACATACCGTAAAGACGTGAGAATGTTATCGTTACCTTTTATGCGCGTCACTGAAAAATGAGTGTTTTATCCTGTAAACAGTTCGTACTTTAGGTGTGTGATGAAGAAAATAGAAGATATTTAAGTTTTTTCTATAAATACAGGATTTATTTTTATCGAGTGGTATTAAAATACATATTTCATGAGTGGATGTAGCCACGAGTGAAATATGATAATTTTCATACCACAAGATGAAAATGAATCTTGTATTTATGGGGAAAAAAACTATAATTTTCTGTTTATTATATACATTTTTGTCTTCTTCTTTTTTTTTCTTTCTTTTTTTTTCTTTTTTATTTTTGACCTTACAATTTGAAAGATTTTCCCTTAAATTTTGTGTATTGGCTGAATTTAGAAGAAAGTAGTCCGGCAAGACATCAGTGAAAATACGGAAAGTATGGTTTACTGTAGTGAAAAAAAATGAAATTTTAGTCTACAGTGAAAATACGGAGAATGAAAATACGTTTGTATCTCAATATTTCATTTAGAAGTATATGATAAAATATTATATTCGTGTAGATATCGATATTAAATTTATTGAACTCGTTGAATAAAATCAATTTATGATCGCCAGAGGCTCGCATAATAATACATGCATATTTTTATTCAACTCGTTCAGTAGTATTTGTAGCGCCGATATATGTCCAAACGTCGAAAAATGTCCAAACGACGATAAATGTCCAAAAATTGACGATAAATGTCTCAATCGCCGATAAATGTCCAAAACTTCTTTAACGATAAATGTCCAAAAATTAACGAAAAATGTCGCAACAAATTAGGTGCTCATAAATGTCCAAATCGGTTAACGATAAATGTCTCAACTTTTCATATGTTAATTGCACTTATTTCTATGATCTTTTCTATGATCAACACCCGCCTATATGACTGAAATACTGTTGGGAAAAGGCGTAACATGAAACAAACAAATAAACAAACTATGATCAACAGTAATGCATCAGCCAGTTATAAAGGTTTCCATAGGGATTAAAAGTACCGATTTAAGTAGCGTTCTCACCAGCATCCCGGCAAAGCCCAGGACCACCCCAGACGATCCGGGATGAAAATATTGTTGCAGTCTCAATAACCCCGGTAAAACTACGGCGATACCCAATTTCCATACTTATAACAACCAGGATGAACTCCGGGCCATCCATGCAGAGTCCAGTTGAAACTACGGATAATGCAGATAGTAAGTGGACGACGGATGACCTAACACGATATTCAAACGCTGTTAAGTCTTCGATCAAAGAGATCATAAAAGCTGAGATCCATGCTAGCACAGCCCCGGATGATGTCGGCAGAGTCCCGGGTGATCCCGGCAAGAGCCCCGGTACGGTCAGATAGAGTGCCAACAATCACCGGTAGAGCCCGGCAGAGCCCTTGATCATCCCGGACGTTTGCGACAGAGTTACGGACGTACCCCGGTCGTTCCTGGATCACCCGACCGACCACCGGGACTCTAGCGGGGATGCTTGTGAGATTGTTAAAAAAGTTTAAAAAATGTATTTGAAAATAAGTTGATTGTTGGATACAGTCTATCTCCCTTACTATTAAAAGGGAAAAAAATAAGTTAAACCGAGGTGCATTGTACTGGTGCTTTACATCGGACACTTAAAATTCATGGACCCATGGGTCATATTGGTTCTGCCCCATGGCAATGATATACATGTATTCCATAACAAATTACTATGCATTTTTTATACACATTTAAAAATCTAATGTTATAATATTAATTTGGCTGTGTTTAAGGGGGCATATATGTTTTACAAACATATCTTGTTAACATCTGCATTGCGCTACTCTACACTTATAGCTATATTCAGTGTCGTCACTCGAACTCAACCTCCACTCAAACTCGGGAAAGGTTTCCTTAAGGACGAATTGACGACGCCTTGGTCAAGGTGAACTCAAGTGTAGAATTGGTTTTCATATTTGAAAGTCCTCCTCGACTTACCCGAGAAAGGTTTGAGTAGCAAATCACCCGTAAAATCACTGTTATAGGTGATCTGTTCAATAAAATATACAATAATTACATAATTCATTATGTATATCAATTGGATTTCAAGATAAGTATTGATTTGAAAGTATCATAAATATGAGTTTGGTACAGACATCATTTGTACATGTACTTTTGATTTGATTTTTTTATGATTTGTAGAATAAAACGTTGACTAATGAGCAAGTGGTCTGTGTACAATAATAATTCATCTATATTTAAATTATATTCTTGCTTCTACCATCAAATTGCTGAAGTCTATCGACAGAATTAATTTATTGTACGTTTTTTGAGAATGTATTAATCAGGTTTTGAGTTATTTTCGCGACTAAAGCGCAGTTTGATTAATAGTGAACACTAATATAACTTGAAAATGTGAAACATTTTGGACAGAAAAAGAGGTATGCTTATTTCTACCATATTCATTCATTCAGTTGATGCACATAAACTAATAATTTTCTTAACAGTTGATGAATTTGTCTTTACGTACAAAAATGGTTGTTACTATTAGATTGGTACTTGAATATTCATATAATTGTGTCTTGAAATCTCATCTGATGATGCTGAACGTCAACGACACTTGGATGCACAGGGGTACATATTATATCGATTATATATCACATACGTTACACACAAACACCTATTATTCATTGACAAATTGTGATTATTTCAAAATAACGTTTGTCGAATGGAGAAGAAATGTTAAAGGTTTTTGTCAACAGATTAAAATAAATATTACACAGCATTCGAATAGTAACATTAAAATTGCTATATTGATGGTGTCATTTAAACATTTTATATTATTATACCTCAATATATCCTTCAATGTAAAACTCCCATAGGGCTACAATGTGTTCTGATCGAATATCACCCTCCTAGAATATATTCCCAGGGGAATATTTCTTATATCACCTTGGAGCACAAAACTCTTACATAACTCATTCATAAAGCGATAATGCCTTAGTACCCTGTAAGCATAAAATTATTGATTTCCTAGTCTGTCTGTCTGTCTCTTGTTTTTATCTATATACATTATACTATTTTTGTGTATATCGAACATTTACAGATCAAAATCGCTATAATTGTGAAGTGATGATCTGTATTTTCTTTCAGGCAAAGACTGCTGACCTAAGAGTTTATTTCGGTATGATAAAATAAATAACACATGGGTGTTGGGTGATAGAGGATATTGCCAACCCTTGAACTGGCATATTACCCTCGGCTGCGCCTTGGTGTAATATACCAGTTCTCGTCTATCACCCCGACAATCATGTGTTAATTATATATTATTATACCTCAATATATCCTTCAATGTAAAACTCCCATAGGCCTACAATGTGTTCTGATCGAATATCACCCTCCTAGAATATATTCCCCGGGGAATATTTCTTATATCACCCTGGGGCACATAACTCTTACATAACTCTGTATTCATAATAGCGATAATGCCTTAGTAACCAGTTAACATAATGCAAAAATATACATACTAATACAATTTAAATAGTTTATAAAAAATCTTTATTTAGCAAAGAATCCCACGTGGAAAGCGAAAAGTTCGTGCGAAACCGTGCGATGTCTGTCTGTCTGTTTGTCTTGTTTTTATCAATACATTTTTGTGTTTACATATCAAAATCGCTGTAATTTTGAAGTGTTGACCTGTATTTTCTCTTATGAATGTTTTGGAACCTAAGGTTTTTGTCGGTATAATAAAATAAATAACATATGGCCGTCGGGGTGATAGAGGATATTGCCAACCCTTGAACTGGCATATTACCCTCGGCTGCACCTCGGGGTAATATACAACTTCTCGGGTTGACAATATCCTCTATCACCCCGACAGCAATATGCTATTTATATTATTATACCTCAATATATCCTTCAATGTAAAACTCCCATAGGCCTTCAATGTGTTCTGATCGAATATCACCCTCCTAGAATATATTACCCGGGGAATATTTCTTATATCACCCTGGGGTACATAACTCTTACATAACTCTGTATTGATAAAAACGATAATTGCTTTAGTAACCAGTTAGCATAATGCAAAATGACAGCCATGTGTTACTTATATAATATTGTTAAGTTAATATTTGACATATAAGTATTTTTAAATGTACATGTTTGTATCCAACAAGCACAGCAAGAAAACATACTATTACGTCAAGTGTCTATTACGGTGGCACAGATGTGACACATGGATGTCTTTATTTATCTTGATCACACGAGAAATTATCTTGTTCCCACAAGTTATTATCTTGTTCCCACGAGATATTATCTTGTTCCCACGAAATAATTATCTTGTTCCCACGAGATAATATCTTGTTCCCACGAAATAATTATAGCCAATCAGAAGCTGTAAAATGGTAATATAGCAGTTACTTCCCCTTATTTAGTTGAACATTTACTTGATTATATATACATTATATTCATGTATAACCATGTAGGTTGATCTTGAAAGTGCCACACTGTAGGGACATACAAAACC